TTTCTGGCAACAAAACTGATACCTTTTGCAAGGAATCATGTTTACATTAACCACAATACTTGCAGTCAAATGTTTTTTTTGCATTTGACTGCAAGTATTGTGGTTAATGTAAGCATGATTCCTTGCAAAAGGTATCAGTTTTGTTGCCAGAAAAAAGGGGAAAACCCCTATTAGTATATTTTGGTATTGACAAAGGAGGTCCCATGATGTAGCTGCTCACCCTGAGCCCTCATGACTCTGGTAGTGCGTTGTCTTGGAACTGTGCGCCTTTTGGCGTCATCTGGTCGAACACCATATGAGACGAGGCTCCAAAGAAAGCTGTCTCTGGTGTGGACCATTCAGTTTCAAAGACATAGCATAAATTATCAGAGTATTGTTTTTTTTTTGTTTGCATTTGACTGCAAGTATTGTGGTTAATGTAAGCATGATTTCTTGCAAAAGGTATCAGTTTTGTTGCCAGAAAAAAGGGGAAAACCCCTATTAGTATATTTTGGTACTGGCAAAGGAGGTCCCATGATGTAGCTGCTCACCCCGAGCCCTAATTACTCTGGTAGTGCGTTGTCTTGGAACTGTACGCCTTTTGGCGTCATCTGGTCGAACACCATATAAGACGAGGCTCCAAAGAAAGCTGTCTCTGGTGTGGACCATTCAGTTTCAAAGACAATGCATAAACTATCAGAGTATTTTTTTTTTATTAATATTTTTTTTTTGCATTTGACTGCAAGTATTGTGGTTAATGTAAGCATGATTCCTTGCAAAAGGTATCAGTTTTGTTGCCAGAAAAAAGGGGAAAACCCCTATTAGTATATTTTGGTACTGGCAAAGGAGGTCCCATGATGTAGCTGCTCACCCCGAGCCCTCATTACTCTGGTAGTGCGTTGTCTTGGAACTGTGCGCCTTTTGGCGTCATCTGGTCGAACATCATATGAGACGAGGCTCCAAAGAAAGCTGTCTCTGGTGTGGACCATTCAGTTTCAAAGACAATGCATAAATTATTAGAGTATTGTTTTTTGTTTGTTTGCATTTGACTGCAAGTATTGTGGTTAATGTAAGCATGATTCCTTGCAAAAGGTATCAGTTTTGTTGCCAGAAAAAATGGGAAAACCCCTATTAGTATATTTTGGTACTGGCAAAGGAGGTCCCATGATGTAGCTGCTCACCCCGAGCCCTCATTACTCTGGTAGTGCGTTGTCTTGGAACTGTGCGCCTTTTGGCGTCATCTGGTCGAACACCATATGAGACGAGGCTCCAAAGAAAGCTGTCTCTGGTGTGGATCATTCAGTTTCAAAGACAATGCATAAATTATCAGAGTATTGTTTTTTTTTGTTTGCATTTGACTGCAAGTATTGTGGTTAATGTAAGCATGATTCCTTGCAAAAGGTATCAGTTTTGTTGCCAGAAAAAAGGGGAAAACCCCTATTAGTATATTTTGGTACTGGCAAAGGAGGTCCCATGATGTAGCTGCTCACCCCGAGCCCTCATTTCTCTGGTAGTGCGTTGTCTTGGAACTGTGCGCCTTTTGGCGTCATCTGGTCGAACACCATATGAGACGAGGCTCCAAAGAAATCTGTCTCTGGTGTGGACCATTCAGTTTCAAAGACAATGCATAAATTATCAGAGTATTTTTTTTTTGTTTTGCATTTGCATTTGACTGCAAGTATTGTGGTTAATGTAAGCATGATTCCTTGCAAAAGGTATCAGTTTTGTTGCCAGAAAAAATGGAAAAACCCCAATTAGTATATTTTGGTAATGGCAAAGGAGGTCCCATGATGTAGCTGCTCACCCCGAGCCCTCATTACTCTGGTAGTGCGTTGTCTTGGAACTGTGCGCTTTTTGGCGTCATCTGGTCGAACACCATATGAGACGAGGCTCCAAAGAAAGCTGTCTCTGGTGTGGACCATTCAGTTTCAAAGACAATGCATAAATTATCAGAGGTTTTTTTTTTTTTTGCATTTGACTGCAAGTATTGTGGTTAATGTAAGCATGATTCCTTGCAAAAGGTATCAGTTTTGTTGCCAGAAAAAAGGGGAAAACCCCTATTAGTATATTTTGGTACTGGCAAAGGAGGTCCCATGATGTAGCTGCTCACCCCGAGCCCTCATTACTCTGGTAGTGCGTTGTCTTGGAACTGTGCGCCTTTTGGCGTCATCTGGTCGAACACCATATGAGACGAGGCTCCAAAGAAAGCTATCTCTGGTGTGGACCATTCAGTTTCAAAGACAATGCATAAATTATCAGAGTATTGTTTTTTTTTTTTGCATTTGACTGCAAGTATTGTGGTTAATGTAAACATGATTCCTTGCAAAAGGTATCAGTTTTGTTGCCAGAAAAAAGGGGAAAACCCCTATTAGTATATTTTGGTACTGGCAAAGGAGGTCCCATGATGTAGCTGCTCACCCCGAGCCCTCATTACTCTGGTAGTGCGTTGTCTTGGAACTGTGCGCCTTTTGGCGTCATCTGGTCGAACACCATATGAGACGAGGCTCCAAAGAAAGCTGTCTCTGGTGTGGACCATTCAGTTTCAAAGACAATGCATAAATTATCAGAGTATAGTTTTTTTTTGTTTGCATTTGACTGCAAGTATTGTGGTTAATGTAAGCATGATTCCTTGCAAAAGGTATCAGTTTTGTTGCCAGAAAAAAGGGGAAAACCCCTATAAGTATATTTTGGTACTGGCAAAGGAGGTCCCATGATGTAGCTGCTCACCCCGAGCCCTCATTACTCTGGTAGTGCGTTGTCTTGGAACTGTGCGCCTTTTGGCGTCATCTGGTTGAACACCATATGAGACGAGGCTCCATAGAAAGCTGTCTCTGGTGTGGACCATTCAGTTTCAAAGACAATGCATAAATTATCAGAGTATTGTTTTTTTTTTTTTGCATTTGACTGCAAGTATTGTGGTTAATGTAAGCATGATTCCTTGCAACATGTATCAGTTTTGTTTCCAGAAAAAAGGGGAAAACCCCTATTAGTATATTTTGGTACTGGCAAAGGAGGTCCCATGATGTATACACATGTATTAATAATTTAGATAAATATTTAAACAAGTTCATATTTTGTTATATTTTTTATATAAATATATTTATATATAAATTAACATTTATAAAAAAATATAAGCACAATATACAGTGAATATGTACAAATATACAAATGTGTAGTGACATATATTGAGTCACTATTGCATCAAGCACCTGCTATTGGAAGAAGGGTGCTACTGTGCATGTTAGCGTCTCTCTAGCACCAGAGTGTGTATGGCATAGAAGTGGGCCCTAGGGGGCATGCTTCTGGTGACGGCCAGAGAGAGGGCACTTCAGGACATTCCAGTCTGGGTGAACCCGAGACGGCACGTGATCAGGAGAAGGTAGCGAGCGGGGCCAAGGGGTGGCGAGAGGGACACGTGACATAAGTCCCAGAACCTTCTAGTAAGATCTAGATGGTGGCGTGGCCTAGGGCGGAGCCAGGCCACGCTCAGGGGCATAAAAGGGAAGTCCCAAGCGCCGATCCGGGCTGTCTTCAGGAATCAACCCGCGGTGTTACGTCTCCTCGCTCTTCCGTCTTCGGTCATCATGCTCGGTATCGTAAGGCAGTACGTTACTGACCTGGCTCAGATGAGTAGTTATCCCGTTTGGGTCTGAGTTAACCGTTGAAATAACCACCTATATCGTTATGTGTTGGCGTGTAGTGATAAACGTATTGCCTCCAAGTTCAAAAGTGTGCCTCCGTGAGGAACACTACATATGTATTAGTGTATAAATATATTCATCATTCTTGCCCATAGCCGAAATTTGTGTGCGGCGTATTGACAAAAAGCCTGGGGACGATTTCTTTTAAGTTCCCGGTCCCTGTCATTCGGTGACGTTCCCGCGTTGTGGTTGTGGTGGTGGTTGTGGTGGTTGTGGTGGTGGTTGTTGTTGTGGTGGTTGTGGTGTTGGTGGTTCTGGTGGTGGTGGTTGTGGTTCTCGTGGTTGTGGTGGTGATTGTGGTAATGGTTGTTGTGGTGATTGTTGTTGTGGTGGTGAGTTTGGTGGTTGTTGTGGTGGTGGTTGTTGTTGTGGTGGTGAGTTTGGTGGTGGTTGTTGTGGTGGTTGTTGTGGTGGTAATTGTGGTGGTGGTTCTTGTTGTGGTGGTGGTTGTTGTGGTGGTGAGGCTGCAGGTTACCCCTCAGTGCTTGTTTGTTTTTGTTGTCGCCAACGTGGCGGGAATCCAAAACGTCAGAATCTGTGTTTGTTGTGCAGGAGGAATACGATGAGCTGTGAAGCTCTTTGTGTTCACAGATGGTGCAGTGGTGAGGGGAGGGCTTGGGGGAAGCGCGTGGGGGGATGGGGGAGGGGTGACGTGGTGACGTCACCGCGTTGGGCGAGCGTGCGTGGTGACGTCACCACGTCCATGACGCAGCAGATAACTTGAACAGCTCGGACACTGTGTTTGTCGCTATCTCTTTATTTGTTTATTAATTTGTAGATTTAATTTGCTTGGCAGTGGCTGTGTAGAGGATTTGGTCCTCGTGTTTATTTAATGAGCAGCGTTGCGGGATGCAGTGAGCACGAATGTCGCTGTACACAACTATATTGTTGTTGTTGTTTGTGTTCTGTATTTTTACTGTAAAATAAACGATACAAGCGTTACAACGCAACTCTCATAAGCATTTTTTTATATTATTGTTGTTCTTGCTGTATCTTTTCCACAATCCATGACACCACCGGTGTATAAACACATCCCAATTGCTAAGCACTGCACCCCTACACTACAGTCATACTCCTCTGGCAGGGTGAATACATCCATGTTGGCTTCACACACACAGAGCAGTACTTATTTTTATCAACTATGAAGGTTGTGAGGATTGTTTACACTCAACCCCTCCGTTGTGATGGAGAGCCACGCAGCCCCTAGCCACCGACAGCCACCAGCCACTCACGGGCGTGGCACTGCGCGTGACGGTGACGACGGTGGCGAGCGCCGTGCGTCGTGGCGTCTGCTCTCTAAGCTGTTCACGTTCACCTCTCTCAGGACGCACCACTCAGATCCACAATCCTTACTGAGGCACCATTATCACCCCACACCAGCATCCCAGGGTGTAGGGGCTGAGAGAATGTTTGGTAAAATGAGTGCAACAGCGCCATGGAGTCGGCGCTGTAAATCGACAGCAGCCCCACGTCCCAGTCCAGATGGACCCCGACTCTCCGCGGAGGCTCCGGCACCGACAGTGAGGTCTCTCCCCCGCCATGCTCCACTGAGAAGCTGTCGCCACGTTTCAGTAGACACCAGGAGACGTCACTCCCTCCTAGGCTGCACTCAGCACCACTCCCTCTCCGTGGGATTGTCCCGTACGCGACTCCAACCCCACACCACCTCGCGCTCCCCACGTCCACCTCCCAGTAGTGCTGACCCGACGAGAAGCTCTCAGAGCACAGGGCTTGTGGATAGACATCAAAGCGGTGTGGGTGATGGAGGCGACGCTGGGGAAAATTGCTCAGCGTCACCGTCCTGAGATCCGAGGAAATCTGGAGGCGGTCGCTGGCTGAGTTTGTGTCCAAAGTCGGCGAGCGTCCATCTGTGGTGAGGACAGCGACGACGCCCGCACTAATATTAGTTAGTATTAGTGTACACATACTAATATTCGTTAGTATTAGTGTACACATACTAATATTCGTTAGTATTAGTGTACACACACTAATATTCGTTAGTATTAGTGTACACATACTAATATTCGTTAGTATTAGTGTACACATACTAATATTCGTTAGTATTAGAGTACACACTAATATTCGTTAGTATTAGTGTTCACACACTTATATTCGTTAGTATTAGTGGACATATAATTATATAATCACCCGTGAATAATAATAATAATAATAAATAATAACAATAGTACTACGCTAACTTGACCATTTGTGTGTGGCAGTGGCAGTGACCAGTAGTGATGATGCCAGCACCACGATGTTAACGCAACTCTCACAGCGTCTCTCTACAAACACGACGCCTGTACCACAGCCACCACAGCCTCGCAAACTCTCACATCCACGCACAGACATTGTGTGTCACAGCCTCGCACACTCTCACATCCACGCACATACATTGTGTGTCACTCCGCTGCTGGATGAGCGCCTCCCCGCACTGCGCATCCTGGGGGGAGTGGTTATTTGACCATACTCCACCGCTCTCGTCGGTGCGCGTTGGCGATGGTGGGAATCGTGAACGTAGAAGCGTAGAGGTGCAGTACAACAATGGTTCATGCTGCGCTGCCCTCTGCTGGTGTGATGTGTAAACATTCGGCACGAGGGAGACAAAGGCAGCCGGGCGTGGTGCTGACCACCCACCCCCTCGTGTGCCGTGCCGGCCTTCATAGGTGCTGCTGCTCGCTAACAGCACTTGCCCCAGTACCCAACAGTAGGGTTTAGTAGAATATGTAAATTGTTAAAAACTAATTTTATGTCACCAGGTAGAGCCCACTGATCCATGTCGCTCTCTTTCAGAGTCTGAGTCTATCTCCCGGTGGTAGCGTGGATTTTTCCCTGGCTCCTCGCGTTTTTCCCACCACTGCTGCTATAAATATCCACGTGATGAGCTAATTCAAAAGAGCTCTCATTTGTGAAAGTCAGGTCGCTTCCGAAAAAAGAGCGACATGGTTCAGTGGGCTCCTTACCTAGTAAAATAAAAAGATGATGGTGGGGAGCACAGAAGTGCAGTGCAACACAGCGGGACACGCGGGTGCAAGACTGAGGAACTCACAGACAAGAGGCAGGAGTCTGCGCATGGCCCTTTCAAGGGAGCGGATCGTGGTGACGTCCAGTGAAGTGGGAGGTGGGGGTGCAGATTCCGTTGGGATCTCTCTCCTGGGACAACCACCAACAACATTACACACAGCCTCGTTTAACCACAGCATTGGAACACTCAGCATCCATAGCACACGCAGCACGTGTCTCACACACAGCCCGCGTCTCACACAGCTCGTGTCTCACACACAGGCAGTGTCTCACACACAGCCCGTGTCTCACACACAGCCAGTGTCTCACACACAGCCAGTGTCTCACACACAGCCAGTGTCTCACACACAGTCAGTATCTCACTCACAGCCCGTGTCTCACACACAGCCCGTGTCTCACACACAGTCCGTGTCTCACACACAGCCCGTGTCTCACACAGCCCGTGTCTCACACACAGGCAGTGTCTCACACACAGCCCGTGTCTCACACACAGCCCGTGTCTCACACACAGCCAGTGTCTCACACACAGTCCGTGTCTCACACACAGACCGTGTCTAACACACAGACCGTGTCTAACACACAGCCCGTGTCTCACACAGCCAGTGTATCATACACAGCTCGTGTCTCACACACAACCCGTGTCTCACACACAGTCAGTGTCTCACACACAGCCCGTGTCTCAAATACAGCCCGTGTCTCACATACAGCCCGTGTCTCACGCACGGTCAGTGTCTCACACACAGCCCGTGTCTCACACACAGCCCGTGTCTCACATACAGCCCGTGTCTCACGCACAGACCGTGTCTCACACACAGTCAATGTCTCCCACACAGCCCGTGTCTCACATACAGCCCGTGTCTCCCACACAGCCCGTGTCTCCCACACAGCCCGTCTCTCACGCACAGCCCGTGTCTCACACACAGTCAGTGTCTCACACACAGCCAGTGTCGCACACACAGTCAGTGTCTCACACACAGCCAGTGTCTCACACTCAGCCCATGTCTCACACACAGTGTCTCACACACAGCCAGTGTCTCAAACACAGTCAGTGTCTCACAAACAGCCCGTATCTCACACAGCCCGTGTCTCACACACAGCCCGTGTCTCACACACAGCCGTGTCTCACACAGTCAGTATCTCACACACAGCCCGTGTCTCACACACAGCCAGTGTCTCACACACAGCCAGTGTCTCACACAGTCAGTGTCTCACACATAGCCAGTGTTTCTCAAACAGCCAGTGTCTCACACACAGTCATTGTCTCACACACAGCCAGTGTCTCACACACAGCCCGTGTCTCACACACAGTCAGTGTCTCACACACAGCCCGTGTCTCACACACAGTCAGTGTCTCACACACAGCCCGTGTCTCACACACAGCCAGTGGCTCACACACAGCCCGTGTCTCACACACAGCCCGTGTCTCACACACAGTCAGTGTCACACACAAAGCCCGTGTCTCATACACAGCCCGTGTCTCAAACCCCAAATGGGGTTTGGCCAGGAGACATCATAGACGGCTGTCCTCCCGGGGCCTCCGGCACAAGCTTTTTAATTAGATTTTTTAAACGCGGTTTTGTGGTAATTAATTGTTTAACACACACAAATACACAGACTATGTCTAACACATACACAGCCTGTGTCTAAGACACACATACACAGCCCGTGTGGTTACCACACACAGCACAGTACTGTGTGTTTAATCATGAGACACTGAGGATATGTACCTGCGCGTCTCCTCCAGGTGCCCCTGTGGAAGAAAGAGAGAGAGCGATCATGAGTGAAGTCTCTACCCTTAGACCACGAGCCCCCCTGCCACTGCCCGCTCTGTTGTTCTGGACACCCAAACGGCGTCTCGACAGAGGAGCTCCCCACCTGCAGGAAGGCGAGCGAGTCCCTCTCATGCTGCAGGGCGCACAGGCGAGCGGCCGCCGCCTGGAGCTCGCCGATCTCCCGCTTGTGACGAGCGATGTCCTCCTCGATCCGGGACAGCAGCTCGCGCTCCTTCACGGCCACGCGATGTAGAGCCTCCCTCTCGTCCTCCTCCAGAGCCTTCTTTAGGCGGGCGAACTTGCCAGTGATCCGACCCCTGATCCCTGCCACCGATTCCTGTGGAGACGCGGGGACCACGGTTGCCCCCCTGAGCCATGAGCCACTCTGTGTGTGCGTGTGGGCGCCGCGGTGGCTAGAAGATGTTGACTCCCTCGCCTGTTATACAGTAGGTCGGGGTTTCGACCCTGACGCTGACGCCTGTATATTTGGAGTTTGTTCTCTCTGTAGTCGTATGTATTTTTCTCTGGGTCATCTGGGTTTTCTCTCCAGATTTAGAATCAATGTCGCGCGTTCAGAGTATTTGGCTGCTATCACTTTCAATATTACAATCAGCCACTTTATTGAGCTAGTATTTGTAGTAGCCAGGTTGCTTCTGAAAAATAACTACATAGCTCAGTGGGGCCTTTCCTGATAAAATAAAACATAGTTTAGTCTATGGGTCTCTATGTATCTCTATGTTTTAATTCTAGATTTGAAGCTTTCGTGACTGCAAGGATTCATACTCTTAGGTTTTTTCGGTAAAGTCACGTGACTTTACCGAAAAAACCTAAGAGTATGTATCTCTATGTGTCTCTCGGGGTCTCTGTATCTCTATTTATCTCTATGTGTCTCTATGGGTGTAGGTATCTCTAGGGGTCTGGTATGTATATTGGTATCTATGTATCGATATGGGTCTCTATGCATATTTTGCTTCAGCTATACATTTCCACGTGAAAATGATTATATCAGCCACTTGGTTGAGCTATCATTTGTGGTGTCCAGGTCGCTTCTGAAAAAAAAATACATAGCTCAGTGGGGCCTTACCTGATAAAAAAAAATTGTCTCTGGGTCTTTATCTATCTATCTATGTGTCCCTTTATATAGCTATGGATCTCCATCGGTCTCTAAGGATCTTTCTCTATCGTATGAGTCTATACTCTTTGGTTCTTTCGGTAAAGTCACGTATGTTGAAAAATAGTAGATCACGACGTTTCGATCGCAACACAAGCGACCGTCATCAGCAGGATAACTGATGTTAACCTGCTTATCTGTTCCACCTGATGACGGTCGCTTGTGTTGCGATCGAAACGTCGTGATCAATTATTTTTCAACATACGTGACTATACCGAAAGAACCAAAGAGTACTGATTCCTGCAGTCACGAAAGCTTCAAATCCTATGAGTCTCTTTGTATCTCTATGTGTCCCTATGTATCTCTATGGGTCTCTATGGGTCCCTATGTATCTAAAGGCGTTTGGATTAGTTGGCTGCTGCTATAAATTTCCATGTGATGATTATGGCAGTCATTTGGTTGATCTATCATTCGTGATTGCCAGGTCACTTCTGAAATAGAGCATCACAGCTCAGTGGGCCTTACCTGAAAAAAAAATATTCCCTAGTGGTGAATCATGCCCCAGTGACGAGGCGCCCATGGGACTGAGTGAAACCATGCCAATGGGGCAAGAGGGGTGCCGCTCTTTTCTTGTTCCTCCCCTAGGAAGGCGCTGGGGTCGTGGATGTTGAGACTCGGGCACTCGGGGTCCGGTGGGGGCCCCCTCGTGGGTCCGACGAGGTGTGGCGAGATAGTAACTACCTCGCCTGGTGTACAGGGGGTCGTGGGTTCGACCACGACCCTGATGCCTGCGTGGATTTTTCTCCGAGTCCTCCGGCTTTTCACACCACATTTAGAATCAGTGTAATTCAGGTCAGGTTTTCCCATAAGTCCGACTCGGGTTTATAATCCAAGGCATTCGTTATATGTTGTGAACAACCCACAGGGCCCAAGAGAGCGTCTCTGGGTTCAAGCAAGCGTTTAGAGTACCGTATTTAGAGTATGATGCTGCTATCAGTTTCCACCTGATAAGCCATTTTTGAGCTATCATTTGTGATATTCAGGTTCCTTCTGAAAAATAGCTACAAGGCTCAGTTGAGCCTTACCTGGTAAAATAAAAATTGTTTAGTCTATGGGTCTCCATGCATCTCTATTTGTCCCTATGTATCACTATTTGTCCCTATGTATCTCCATGGGTCTCTATGCATCTCTATGGGCCTGCTGATATATATATCCACGTGATGATAATGTCAGCCACTTTGTTTAGCTGCTACCATTTGTGACAGCCAGGGTAGTTTCTGAAAAAATCTACACAGCTCAGTGGGGCCTTACTTGGTAAAATAAATAGTTGTAGTTTAAATAGACTCCGGTGACGCAATTAGGGACGGCATGAGGTTTAGCTGTGCGATGTTCAAGCCTCTGCGTCCGTGCCAGTGCGCGACCTCCAGTGCAGTGCAACAGCTGCATCACAGCTCCACCAAGACAATCCGGTGGCACTCTCTACTTTTATTTTTTTCCACAGGAGTGGAAGACGCAATGTCGAGTAACCCGACCTTGCAGCAGATTCACTGACGCGGCTATCGAATGCCGTAAACGTGCAACCCCCTCGTAGTTAATGTTGAGTTTGAAAGTTAATGATATAGTTATAGTAAGAGGCATCAATGTTATGAAGCTGCACTAAATTCGCTTGAATGCATTTTGACCTCCACGACTTCCACACTGGGTGGAGGTCACAGGGGCAAAGAGCAAGACCCAGACACGGTACCTGCGCCTCCTTGCAAGCGGCCTCCATCCGCTTCATGGACTCCTCCGCCTCCTTCCTCTTCTCCTCCAATGCTCGTGTCTCCTCCGCTACGCGCGTCTGTAGTGAGAGACGAGACGTCACCAGAGGGAGACTCCAGGCCCTTGAGCCACCCCTCACACCACCCTTCCCTCCACACCGACCCCTCCACAGTGAATGCCCTCATCTCCAGGCTGCCTCTCTACGGCGACTGAGAGGGGGGAACGGGGAGTGGGCAAGCTGATGCCTCGTTGTAGCAGCAGCCGGTGGAACCCGTGCTGGCTTGGTGTCCGTACCGACTCAGACCCAAGAGCCCATGTGCCCACAGCTGTCTAGTTTAGAAGATACATTTGTAATGCGGGCGTAAACGGCCTCGCGGATGTGACGTCACGGGGGGAGGAGTTAGGTCACGTGGGAGAGAGGGTTCAAGTCTTAAGGGGGAGAAACCGGAAGAGCAGGGGGAGAGTTGGAGAGAGATATAGAGTGAGGCCACGCAGGGCGGAGGTTGGAGGGTGGCGAGATCGCCACACACCCAGGAGAAGACTCGGCACCGTCGGCCAGCGGTGACCGAGTACGGAGGAACGGGGAGCCGGTTGAGGCTGCAGTGAGGGCAGCTGGAGGCCTGCACGAGGAGATCAGCAGCGGAGCTGCATCAGAGTGGAGTGAGAGGCTACGGGAGCGACGGCAGCATCGAGCTGCCAAGCGGGGGAGTCTCTGAGAGAGAGCCGTGTGGGACAAGTGTAAAGAACCCGAATAAAGGACAACGAAGACAGACACAGTGATCGAGTCCTTTATTACACTGGTGTCAGAAGTGAAACGGCATGTCAAAACAACTGAAAAAAAAGAATATTCCTGCGCCATCATCTGCTACATCATCCGACGACGACGACCTTCCTCAGGCGGTGGACCTGCCTGCGATGGAGGAGGAGATCCGTGCTGGAACGAGTGCGGGTCCGGGAGTCCAAGATGTCGCCGCGTCGGTGGACTCGTCTGCACCGGAGGACGCGGACTTGCGATGGGGACAGATGGCGGCGCAGCTGGAGACACTAAAAATCGTGCTGGCGCAATTGTGTGAGCTTTTCACGCCGAGGACGGCGCTGGGGAGAGCCGATGGTGGTCCGCGGGCCGCCGCCTTGCCTTCGCTGTCGGCGCCATCGGCCACGCGGCACGAAGACGCTATCTTGGGCGTGGCAGGAGAAGAACGGCGGGAAGCCGCCATTTTGTGCTCTCCGCGGTGGGAGGCCGCCATCTTGAACACGTTGCGATGCGACGCCATTTTGAATATGCTGCCTGATGAGTCATCGGCTGAGGACGGCGCGCCAAGGAGTCGCAGTCGTCATCTTACAACTGTTAAGGAATTCTCCATCGGTGGCGATTGGAGTGCTTTCGCCTGCAGATTTTTGGCGGCGGTACGCTCTGCAAGGTGGACTGACGCTGAGGCATTGAAAGTTCTGCCGACTCTTCTCGACGACGAGTCGGTGAGATTCTTTCGTTCTATAAAGGCCGAGAAGAAGAAAACATTGAGAGGAGTTTTCGACGAGATGGCAGATGCATACGAGCCACCGGATAACGCTCATCGCCGGTTTGTTCAACGACAGCGAGCACCCGAGGAGTTGCCGGTGGCATACAGGGGTGCGGTATTGGAGTTGGCTATGGCCGCATACCCGGAGATGGAGCCTGACCTGCTCGAACCTCTCATCTTGGGTAAGATGCTCGAGCTGTCCCGGGATTTGGGGATTCCTATGCCGGTGTGTGGCCACGAAAAGCTGACATCCCGGGCGGCCGCTAAGTGTCTGGATGCCCAGTTCAACCTGCGCCGTTGGAGGCAAGTCACGGCGTGGACGGGGGGGCCCATCGTCGAAGGAGGTGCCGTGGGCTGGGATCCCAAAAAGGCGGTGTACGTGCCTGACGGGGGGGGGCCCGCAGGAGCTGACAGCCGCCTCTGCTCCGTGGTCGGGCCGCAGTGGGCCGGGGCCGCGAGCTGCGCCGCCGACACGGGCACGTCGGGACGGGGGGCCTGCGGCGCTGCGCAACGACATCGACTGCTTCCGCTGCGGGCGTAAGGGCCACCCCAGCAGGAGGCCTCGTCAACGGACGCGCCGCGGAAGGATCCTCCAGGACAGGCAAGTCGGTGCGCACCAGACACCCGGCAAGGCTTGACACCTCACTCATCACCGTTGTCGTGCGATCCGGGTGTTGTTAACAACGGGAGGCCATCGACTGGGCCATGTCGCTCGGTAACGCAGTGGCGTAAATTGGCACGGCGGGTCGTCGCGGCCGCTACGGGTTCGTCCACTGTACCTGGTTCTATACAAGGGGTGGACGTGCGTATTTTGGTGGATTCCGGAGCGTCCACGACCATTATATCGGATGTCATTTTCCATCTGTTGGGCATCCCACCAGAGGCCGTGCGTCCGGTTTACGGGTCGTGCGTTGCTGCGAATGGGGGTAGCATGGGCATTGTGGGCCAGGTGGACGCTAAAATATCTATCGGGGGAGTGTCGGCCTCGGGAATTGTGTTAATTTCGAGGTCTCTGGCAGTCCCTTGTTTGTTGGGAACCGATTTTCTGGCCAAGATGCCCATTCTGATTAGAATTAATGATAACTGCATTGAATTGCCGGGTGGCCGTAAGATTTCGTTTCTGCCGTCGCCCTGGAGGCGACCTGCTCCGGTCGCCCAGGTGCAGGCGCTGTCCGAGGTATCTGTTGACATTCCACCTGGCTCCCAGATGCTTATCCCCTTGCGATATCGGAAGCCTGTGCCTGGTCGGCAAGGTGCAATTGGGGTTTTGTTGTCGCCGTCCGCCACCATAACGGGCGGATCGGCGCTGGTTGGGGCGCAGACTATTGTCCGGCCGGACCAGCAGCCATTTTTGCAGGTGCTTAATCCGAGTACCGAAAATGTATGTGTTCCGGCTGGTACGGTTGTGGCACATGCCACTACGGCGTTTACGGCACAAGATTATCTGGGCAGCCAGGGCGTGGTTGCTGGGGTTTCAGAGCCGGGAGCTGCGGATAATCGCTGGATCGCCGAATTGTGTGGGGAAAATCCTTCCCTTTCCGGGGAACAACGTTGTGCGATTCGTAAATTGTTATTGAGTTATTCGGATGTGTTTAGCTCCGACGATTTGGATTTGGGACGCACCTCGTTGCTTTACCATCATATTGACACAGGGGACGCTGCCCCTATTCGGTTAAACTCACATCGGATGAGTCCGGCCGAGCAAGAACACGTTCGAGGGGCAGTGGATGACATGTTGGCTGCGGACATAATATCTCCATCTAACAGCCCATGGGGCGTGCCTGTTGTTTTGGTTAAGAAGAAGGACGGCAAGTTGCGATTTTGTGTAGATTTCCGGAAATTAAATAAGATATCTGTGGCAGATGCGTACCCCCTGCTGCGCATGGACGACTCCCTCGATGCCTTGTTGGGGCGAAGTTCTTTTCTACGCTAGATCTCTCTTTGGGATTCTGGCAGCTTCCCCTTGACGAGCCCTCGCGGGAGAAAACTGCTTTCCGTACGCCGCAGGGGTTATTCCAATTCAATTGTCTTCCGATGGGGTTTAATGCTGCCCCTGCCACATTTCAAAGGTTGATGGAGCTGGTATTAACGGGGTTGCAGTGGGAGACATGTCTGATATATTTAGACGATATTATCGTCTTCAGCCGCACATTTGATGAACATTTACTGCGGTTGGAGGCTGTGTTCGCCAGGATGCGTTCCGCTAATTTGAAATTTAAGCCTAAGAAATGTCACCTACTGCAACGGTCCATGCGTTACTTGGGGCATATCGTAAGTGCGGACGGGGTGGCCACGGATCCGGACAAAACAGCGTGCGTCCGTGACTGGCCAACCCCGACCACGGTGGGGGATGTGCGTCGGTTTTTGGGGTTTGCCTCATATTATCGGAGATTTGTTCCGAATTTTGTGACGATCGAGAGGCCCTTGCACCTCCTTACGGGTAAAGGACGCAAATTTGGTTGGGGACCGCCGGAAGAGGCGGCTTTTCAGGGCCTGCGCGATCTATTGGCTATGGCGCCGACGTTGGATTATCCGGATTTTGATCATCCCTTCATTCTGGATACGGACGCGAGTGACACGGGCATTGGGGTGGTGTTGTCTCAGTCCAAGGGGGTGTGGAGCGCGTGGTGGCGTACGGTAGCCGGGTTTTGTCTGCTGCAGAAACCCGTTACTGCGTCACTCGCAGGGAACTTTTGGCTGTTGTTTTTTTTCTCCGCCAATTTCGACCGTATCTCTACGGTCGATTGTTTATTGTGCGCACTGATCATGCGGCCTTGCAGTATGCTCTTAAGATGGACCAACCATCCGGCCAGTTGGCGCGTTGGTTGGACACGCTGCAAGAATTTTCCTTCCAAATTCACCATCGGAAGGGGGTGCGTCACGCCAATGCGGACGCGCTTTCTAGGTTGCCGCAGCGATCCCCTTGCGCGTGTGCGTCTGGGACGCATAGGTGTGCGCCGATTCAGCCTCCCCCTCAGCCGGTTGCGTTGGCCGTCGAGGTGCCTGATGCTCCAATGGAGCCGGGACCGGCTGATGGGGTTTTGAATCTTCCAAGGGCTGTGTGGATTCTGGAACAAATGTTGGACGATTCATTGGTGTCCTTACGGAAGCGGCCTGCGAAGGAGAGTGGGGGTCCGGGTACGGGCGGTGGGCCGGAAACCGCTCTCCGCGATGGTCTGCTCATGTGGAGGGAGGGATTACAGGAAAGCTGGCGTCTGGTTGTACCGGCGTCCTTGCGGTACGAGTTGATTAGGACTCTGCATTGCGATACGCTCTTACATCTGGGAGTGCAGAAAACCCTACTGACGTTGCAGCGAAATTACTTTTGGCACGGCATGGCGACAGATGTCGTCGGGCACGTTCGCGCGTGTCCCTATTGTGCCCGGCGAAAACCACCTAAACATCCATATGTGCCGCCGATACAGTCTATTCAGGTGTCTCGAGTTAATGAATTGGTGGCGCTAGACATTCTGGGACCCTTCCCGCCATCCGCGAAGGGTAATAAATACTTGCTGGTTGGGGTGGAGTACCTCTCCCGTTGGCCGATGGCCTGGCCGTTGCCCGACCAGTCGGCGGCGTCTATTACAGACGCCTTTCTATTTGGGTACTTTATGGACAAGGGTGCGCCGGAGAGGCTCCTCACAGACCAAGGCCGAAATTTTTCTTCTAAATTGTTGGGGGAAGTGTGTGCGGCTATTGGGACTAAGAAAATACGGACATCTCCCTACCACCCGCAAACGGATGGTATGGTCGAACGGCTTAATCGGACTTTGTCCGCCATGTTGTGCCACACGGTGAGTGAACAACAATCTGATTGGGATTTGCATATCCCTGGGGTACTTTCGGCGTACCGGATGACGCCGCATGCGGCTACAGGATATTCGCCGTTTTTCCTTATGTACGGTCGTGAAAACGTGCCGCCGATGGATGTGCAGTTGGGAACTGGAGTGAGGAGACCTGCTAAGCCTCTTCCTGATTACATTCAGGACACCGTTCGCCGTGTTACTGAGGCGCGGGAGGGGGCCCGCTTGGCTACGGCCAAAGCCCAGGCCCGGAACGAGCGGTGTGCTCGACGCTTTAAGGGGGAGTGCCCCTGGAAGGTTGGGGACCTGGCCTGGCTCCATTGCCCACAGGTGCGGCCAGGTACCTCTCCTAAATTACATAAACCATGGCAAGGGCCGGTTCGCCTCATCGAGGTTCCCAACCCACAGTCGGCGCGTGTTCGGGTTGGATCTCGGCGTTGGTTCGTTCACACGTCGCGCTTGAAGCCATATGTGGCCCCTCTACCTGATGCGTCATCTCCTGATGTTGCCTTGCCGGGGTCTGTTGCTGCCGACTCACCCTTGCCTGTGCCTGTTGATCTTGCAAGAGCGCCTGTCGTGCCTGTTACAGACAAGCCGGCCGTGACACCGCAGGGGACGAGGGGCTCTGCTCGGGGGGTGCCTGCCACGGTTGCGGGAACTCCGAGCCCCGCAGCCCTTCCGACCCCGCTGCGGACACGAGTGCGGGACACCTCCGACGCGGAGCCTTCGGGGATACGGGACCGGGACGTTGGCGGGCCTCCAATAGCGACAGGAGGACTTCATCCTGTCGCTCCTAAAACCCCGTCACGTTCCCGGTCTGCGGGAGGGCTGCCGACCGTCCGGGACGGGCCGGCGACCCGCACACGCTCGAAATCCCTTACATTTCGTTGAATTTTATTGTTGTGTTCTTGTTCTTACTGTTATATTTATTGTATGCTTCGTTGTCCTTTGATGTCTCGGCCGTGTTCGCTCGCATTACTTGTTGTCGTTATTGTTCAGCCGAGGTCGGCTGGATTTTTCTCTACGGGGGAGGGTGGTGTAATGCGGGCGTAAATGGCCTCGCGGATGTGACGTCACGGGGGGAGGAGTTAGGTCACGTGGGAGAGAGGGTTCAAGTCTTAAGGGGGAGAAACCGGAAGAGCAGGGGGAGAGTTGGAGAGAGCTATAGAGTGAGGCCATGCAGGGCGGAGGTTGGAGGGTGGCGAGATCGCCACACACCCAGGAGAAGACTCGGCACCGTCGGCCAGTGTTGACCGAGCACGGAGGAACGGGGAGCCGGTTGAGGCTGCAGTGAGGGCAGCCGGAGGCCTGCACGAGGAGATCAGCAGCGGAGCTGCATCAGAGTGGAGTGAGAGGCTACGGGAGCGACGGCAGCATCGAGCTGCCAAGCGGGGGAGTCTCTGAGAGAGAGCCGTGTGGGACAAGTGTAAAGAACCCAAATAAAGGACAACGAAGACAGACACAGTGATCGAGTCCTTTATTACACATTTAATAGAATTGTCTATCAGGTGGCTGTGATATCAGTCTCCCATCTCTATTCACTTCATTCATTTACAAGGGAATTATGTTTAGTGAGAGCCTGGCATGAAATACATCCTAAGAGATGAGCTGTACATGCAGAGACAGAGATTTCTAGAAGAGAGAGAGCATGAACACATACATACTTTTTTGAATCAGATGTTGTGAAGCCCAGTGACAGAATTGGTGAGATCGTGTTGCGGTGTCTCACTCTGAGGGCCTCACCTTCCGTGTCTCATGCTCGTTCTTTATGGTGATAACATCATGTCCTTTGTGTTCACCTGCGATTGTGCAAGTTGAGCAAACCAGCCTGCTGTCTACTGTGCAGTAGAATTTCAGCTTCTTGCTGTGCTCCCGGCACCGTCGCTCCTCCAGGTTCGCGATGGGAGCCACCAGGACGTGGTCACTAAACCTGGGATTCTCCAAGTGAGGCCTCGCGTGCCTCGCACAGAAGGACATCTCGCATCTCAGGCAGGTCTTCACTGCAGGAGTTTGGCCATCACCGCAGTTGTCACACACGACGGCCGCGGCCATCTCGTCTCGAACTCTGAGCTGCTCCGCCAGGTTGGCGAGGGCCACTTTCCTCCTCAGCTGGGGTCGCACAGGGAAGGTCGCTCGGCACTGCGGGCAGCCGAAGCTGCTCGCCGTCTCCCAGGCGGCCTCGAGGCACCGCAGGCAGAACGAGTGTCCACAGCTCAGCGTGGAGGGACAGACGAACGTGCCCAGGCAAATGGAGCAGCGCAGCTCACTATCCACACTCTCACTGGGAGTCGCGCTCGCCATGACCTATGGGCTTCGCTGAGATCGCTCGCTGTGTGGCTCAGAGAGACGCTGACCCAGGACCTCTCTCTTATAGCGACGGTGAAGGAAGTAAAATACTTAAATTATTTTCATTGTCGTCACTGACAGCACGAGACACTGCCTGGAATGTGAACCCGTGCCCCCTGGTGTGCAAACAGCAGCCTCAAGGTGAACACGAATACTGTACACACCTTGACATTTGAAGATATGAGTGCTGTTGTTAACATAAATCGGTGAGGCTCAGTTGCGGTGGCTCATTCGTGAGATGAGTGTCGAGCGATAAACTCATCCTTCTACAACAAGTTGGTGTCAAGATGTTATCTCCCTCGCTCGGTGTACAGGAGGTGGTGGGTTTGATCCCAATCCTGACGCCTGCATTATATTTAAAGTTTGCGTCTCTCTCTCTTCTCCGTGGTCGCGTGAATTTTTCTTCCGGCCCTCCGGTTTTTCCCTCCACATTTACAATCAACATCATGCGTTTAAAATAGCTGGCTGCAATACATTTCCACGTGATAAGCCATAATTTGTGGCCCGGTCGTTTCCGAAAAATATATACACAGCTCAGTGAGCCTTACCTGCTAAAATTAAAAATATGTAATATCTTGAATACGGCGGGAGACGAGTTGACGGGGCAGCACTTATTTATTAACACGATTAACACAGTAACAGATGCAGCCGAGATACAGCCGAGATACAGCCTACGCTACGCGTGCCTAACTCGGCTACGCTCTCAGGCCCTCCAGCTACGTGCTTCCTAGGGGAGGCTCTCTGACCCGTCCTAGCCAGGGTACGGGTCTCGATCCCTGGGTCACACAGCCCGGCCCTTACAAGGACGTCAGGCCGTGATCCCCAAGATCTCGCCACTGAGCCGCACAGAGTCCCGGCCCTTACAAGGGCAGCGGGGCTAGGGGTCTCAGGGCCCTATCTCTTCCTCCGTCTTCTTTCTTCACTGATTGATGACTCCCGAGCGTTGCTGCGCATCGCCTTACATAGCCCTCCGCGCCAGGGGGCGGAGCCTATGCGGACCTCGATGTGGACACCTGCCTGTGGACCGTGATGTAGACACCCAATACGCGCTGTCTCACGATCCTCCCCCCCAGCACGTACCACCTCTACATCACCCCCTTCCACATAGCTCGCAGCCGGCTCGGCTGCAAAAAAACTCTCCGCGTGTGCGCCCTGTAACAGCAAAACTAACAAACACAACACAATGAGAATCCCGCGAACCCCGCAATAAATAACCGAACCCTTAACTGTAATAACAAGAATATATGTACACACCGACGAGTAAAACCAATAAATTATATACAAGAACGACCTGTACAGCGTCCCCTTGATCCCTTGACGTGGAACATTAGAACGGACGGAAGGGGAACGCTGTGACGAGGTGACCCGGCGGGACTGCCTCCGCCCCCCCCCCCCAGTCAGGAAAAGCGGTGCGACTTAGCACGGGTCCGCCTGGCCGGCCCGTCGTACGGCACAGGACGCGTTTGACCGTCAGGCGGCTCCGGCAGTCCAGGAAGGCACGGAGCAGGCTTCGGAGATCCGCGTGTGCCTCGGAGATCCGGTTGCCGACGGTCAGCAGCCGTCAGTTCCGAGACACCTGGGAGCGGATCAGGCGGAGACATGTGAGGATCAGGGGGTGACATTTCCCTCCCCGAATCGACGGCCACATCACATGCTCGGTCATTACGACATGAAGGAAGGCCATGTGGCGCCGCGAAAGGTTTCAGCCGGGAGGGGTGAACGTACCAACGGCGTTTTCCCCACTTTATCTGAATGCACTGGGTTCGTGCAACACGCACGACTTCAACGGGTCCCTGCCATGGCCTCAGCAGTTTCGGGGACGTAGCCAACGGCGCATGCGGGCAGTGCAGCCAGGCCTTATCGCCCGGTTTCCATTCGTGCACGTACACCTTTCGTGCACGCAACCGCTCGTTAGCAATCTGGCGAGACCTCGAATGTTAAATTTGATATGGTCGGCCAATTTAGATTTAGCACGGGGTTCGGAATTCCCCAGCTGGGCATCCATGGGCGGATCGGCCTCCCGACCGTACATGAGAAAAAATGGGGAAAACCCTGTCGCCGCATGGGGGGCCATCTGGTACGCGGCGAGGACACCAGTGACCTGCAAGTACCAATCAACCTGAGCCTCGCACACCTGTTGGCATAACATGGAAGTAATCGTTCTGTGGAGCCGCTCCACCATCCCATCAGTCTGTGGGTGGTACGGGGAGGTACGCACCTTTTTGATACCCAAAAGGTCGCACACCTCTCGTAACAAAACGCCCGAAAAATTATTTCCCTGGTCGGTCAGCAAGCGTTCAGGGGCACCCTTGTCCAGGACATAGTCCTGGACAAAGGCGTCCGCCACGGCCGCCGCCGACTGGTTGGCGAGCGACCACGCCATGGGCCATCGAGTGAAGTATTCCACGCCAACCAGCAGGTACTTGTTACCCCTAGGCGATACCGGAAAGGGCCCCAAGGTATCCAGTGCAACGAGTTCGTTTATGCGCGAGACTTGAATAGACTGTAGCGGTGGATTAGCCGCAATGGGCGGCGGTTTCCGTTGGGCGCACCCCACACACCCCTTGAGTGTGTTAGCCACATCACTCCCCATACCCGGCCAATAGTAGTCCCGCTGGAGCAGGGCAAGCGTCTTATGGACCCCCAAATGCAAGAGCCGTTCGTGAGCGGCCAGAATGACCCTACCCCGCATAGCAGACGGCACGACAAGCGCATGTCGCCGGGACATACCGTCCCACCTCATAAGGAGGCCCTGTTTGACCACCGAGGAACCGACCCCCGTCTCCCCTCCCTCGGGACCCTTTGCCTTACGAAGCAACGTGAGAAGGGAGCTGTCGGCTATTTGGAGTCGGCCCCACTCAATAAGAGGCAAAGCGAGTAACGAGTCCCCGCCCGTCGGAGCAGCGGGAACATCGACCCGTGGCGCAACGACGGCGGCGAACAAATTTCCCGTGGGGACGGCGACAGGGGGTTTACAACGCCTCGATCCCAAAAGACATGCACATTCCGAGCGAGGCGACAACCGCGACAGGGCATCCGCGTTGGTGTGGCGCAATCCCTTACGGTAAGTGGTCGTGAATTGGTAGTCCTGGAGGACCTCCAACCATCGGGACAACTGACCCGATGGTTGGGCGACACGCAACGCGTATTGCAGCGCGCGTGGTCCGTACGGACAGTAAAATGACGGCCGTAAAGATACGGTCTGAATTGCTGGATAAAAAAAACGATAGCTAGTAACTCGCGACGGGTCACACAGTAGCGCTGTTCCGCCGGCGACAAAACCCTGCTACCGTAGGCGACCACACGTTCGACTCCCCCGATCACCTGTGAGAGCACCCCCCCAATACCCGTGTTACTGGCATCCGTGTCAAGCAGGAATGGTTTGGTGAAATCAGGGTAACACAAGGGTGGAGTACTCACCAAGGCATCCCGAAGGGAGCAAAACGCGGCCTCCTCCTCCGGCCCCCAGCGAAACCTCACCCCTTTCGCTGTCAAAGCATGCAGGGTTTTGGCAATGGTGGCAAAGTGCTCAACGAAGCGGCGGTGGTAGGAGGCAAATCCAATGAAACTGCGGACCTCAGAAACTGAAGTAGGCGTCGGCCATGAACTGACACAGTGTGTCTTAGCGGGATCGGTGGAGATCCCCGAACGGCCCACCATGTGCCCCAAGTACCGAACCGATTCCCGAAGTAGGTGGCATTTACCCGGTTTAAACTTTAATTTAGCAGATCGCATTCTGAGGAACACCGCCCTCAACCGTTGGAGGTGCTCCTCGAAGGTTCGACTGAAAACGATGACGTCATCAAGGTAAATTAAGCAGGTATCCCATTGGAGGCCCGACAAAACCAATTCCATTAGCCTCTGGAACGTCGCGGGAACGGAATGAAGTCCCATGGGCAACCGGTTAAACTGAAATAGGCCCACCGGTGTTCGGAAGGCGGTCTTAGGTTTCGACTCCTCATCGAGGGGCAATTGCCAGAATCCCGATAGCAGGTCTAACGTCGAAAAAAAAGTGCCCCTGCTAAGGCATCCAGGGATTCGTCCATTCTGGGGAGCGGATACGCGTCAGCCACCGAGATCTTATTAAGGCGGCAGAAATCAACACAAAACCGCAAGGATCCGTCGTGTTTCTTAACAAGCACGATGGGCGCTCCCCAAGGACTGGATGAGGACGAAATGATGTCGGCGGACAGCATGTCATTAACGGCCGATTGCACATGTTCCGTTTCGGCTGGGCTTAACCGGAAAGGATTTTGCCGAATTGGGGCCGCATCACCCGTCTCAATGTGGTGGCGTAACAGGTCAGTGCACCCAATATCATATTTATGTTTGCTGAATACGTCAGAAAATTCGAGTAGCAGGGCGCACAGCGCCCCCAATTGCACACTGGACAAGTTGCTGGAACCCGCACACAATGAGTCCAACCACTGTTGATCTTCCCCCGATTGAAGATGCGGACCCGGAGTGGAATCAACGTGCGCAATGAGCTGCTCATCCACGGGCACCGGCGCCGCGTGAGCAAGCACGGTGCCCTGTGGAATGACGGCTGGCCGCGACCCCGCGTTCAAAACCATGACGAATGCGTCCCTGTCCGCCTGTACCATCGTCTGAGCCACCGCCAAGTTCAAACCCCCAACAGCTTTGTTCGACGGTCCCAACAGCACGCCCTGCCCCGCCGTATCCCCCCCCAAGGGTTTCCGTAACCGAAGGGGTACCAGCATCTGCGATCCCGGGGGTACGCGCACTGTCTGGGTTGCTAGCGCTTGGACCGTCGCACAAACCGTGCGTAGTTTGGTAGGGCTCGATAAAAATGTTATGCAGCGACCCGATGGGAGCTCGATACACCCTTGATCGATGAGAATTTTAATCGGCATTTTAGCCAAAAAGTCTGTGCCCAATTAACATGGAACCGCCAGGGAATAAGAGACCAAAACAGGTCCCGACAATTTAATATCCCCGATGCAAATGGTCGCCCGAATCTGCCCGACAATACCCAAGGAGCCCCCGTTCGC